CAAATGCGGCCTTAAGCGCAACGAAAGGGCTCAAGATTCCCCATTACGACGGAACAACATCCTGGACCGCGTTCAAGCTACAGTTTGAGACACTTATGGAGGCTTATGGTTGGACTCAGAAGGAAGCACAGTCAGCCCTCACCCTGGCCCTCCGTGATCAAGCGCTCTCAGTGCTGGAAGCTATCGGCGCAAGTGGAGATCTCAGCTTTAGTGCCCTCCTCGACGCACTTGAGGCACGTTTTGGAGACAGCCACCTCGAGCACGTGTACAGAGCGCAATTAAAAGAGCGTACTCAGCGTGATAATGAGAGTCTACAGCAATGGTCCGTGGAAATCGAGAAACTTGTGCGTCGAGCTTTCCGGTCGACTCCGTCAATGATTGAAGGCACGCTTCTCCAAGCGTTCATTGACGGTATTCGGGACCCCGAAGTACGAGCTGCTGTTCATCTGGGCCATAACAAGAACATGAAAGAAGCTCTGACCCATGCATTGGAAGTGGAAGCCGTGCGTGGCAACTCCCGTACCTTACGTCTGCGGGAAATGACGACAACGGAGCAGGTACCTCCACGCCGTCGGAACTTCATGTGCTATGGATGTGGAGAGCGTGGGCACATACGGAGCGACTGCCCGAAGAAGATGAACCGCAAGGACGCGGCGGTCTCAACTTCTGACCAGCAGGGAAACTTAAATCCAGCCAAGGCTGCGGGGTGGGCGCTGGCTGGTAGTGGAATAACCCCAACAATCTACATCAAGCAAACTAACGATGGAAATACCCTGGTGATAGACGGTCTAGTAAATGGGAAAAACAGTCAGCTAACATTAGATACTGGAGCTTCAAGGACGGTGATAAATGTTCGGCTGCTCGAGCAAAACATCAGGAAACACCTTAAACCAATTGTTGGCCTACAAATGAAATCAGCTACCGGCCAGTGCATACCGATAAGTGGAAAACTGCATGTAACAATCAAAATTGGGGAACGTGTTTATCGACATGAGGTTATTGTGGCCAGAATTCTGGATGACTGCATCCTGGGACTTGACTTCCTGCAAGGGCACCAGTGTAACATCGACTTAAAATCTGGAGTATTACTATGTGGAACTGAGGAAATTCCGATGAAGGGTGGAACCCTGGGAAAAGTTTGCTGTTTAAGAAGAACTGTTCTTGCACCAAAATCACAGACTCTCGTACCAATCGCATTACCTAGGAGGAGGGAAGGAAGTTTACCTCGAAGGTGCGCTGTGATTGATAAATCGGAACACGTGAATTCATGGCTACCGGCAAGAACTGTTGTGGGGTCATCTGATGTTAACCGCATTCCGGTATTCAACTTCAGTGATTCAGAAATTACGATTGAAGAAGGAGAGCCTGTGGGCGTATTGGAAGAAGTGGCCTGGATAAGAAAATGCTCGGAAAATCTTGTGAAGAAGGACAGTACGGGAATAGACTTTGTAACGAAAATCTTAGACGAAAACAAAAGTCTGACAAAAGTGGAGACTATGAAAGCTAGAAATTTACTTCTTCGATTCTCTGATGTGTTTTCAAGAAGCGATGGTGATATTGGCCGAACTGGTTTGGTGAAGCATAAAATAAACACAGGTGATACAATGCCAATTCGTCAAAGGCCCAGACGTATACCATTCGCTCGTGAGAAAGAAGTTGAAGAAATGATTGACGATATGAGGAAAAATGACGTGATAGAGCCCTCTTCTAGCCCTTGGTGTTCACCTGTCGTGCTTGTCAAGAAGAAAGATGGTTCAACGAGGTTTTGCGTAGACTATCGACGATTGAATGATGTAACCAAGAAGGATAGCTACCCGTTACCAAGAATCGATGACACACTTGACACACTGAGTGGCATGAAATGGTTTTCAACGCTCGATCTGAAAAGCGGCTATTGGCAGGTGGATTTGGATCCCAAGGACAAGGAAAAGACCGCATTCTCAACTGGGAAGGGACTCTGGCAATTTAAGGTGATGCCATTTGGATTATGCAATGCACCGGCAACCTTTGAGCGTTTGATGGAACAGGTGCTGGCGGGACTGCTGGGCGAAACTTGCCTAGTTTACCTCGATGACATCATCATTGTTGGACGGGATTTTGACGATCATCTAAGGAAATTGGAAAAGGTACTCGATAAGCTGCGTGGAGCAAATTTAAAGTTGAGTCCAAAGAAATGCTCTTTCTTCAAGCGCGAAGTGAATTATCTAGGACATGTTATTTCTGAGAGAGGAATTGAGACTGATCCAGCCAAGACTGCCGCTGTTAAGGAATGGCCGACACCTAAAGACAAAACGCAAGTTCGGGCATTTCTTGGATTGTGCTCGTATTATCGGCGGTTTGTGAAAGGATTCTCGGACATTGCCAAGCCTTTGCATCGATTGACAGAGGAGAAACGTGCCTTTATCTGGGACGAGGATTGTGAGCAAGCCTTTCGAGAACTAAAAGAACGGCTTTGTAACACACCAATTCTCGGATACCCCAGCGCGAAAGGAATATTCGTAGTTGATACGGATGCCAGCAATATTGGAATAGGAGGTGTCCTTTCACAACGCGATGGTGAGCAGGAGAAGGTTATTGCTTACTTCAGCAAGTCACTATCCAAGCCGGAGAAGAATTATTGCGTGACCAGGAGGGAATTGCTGGCCGTAGTCAAAACTCTGCACCATTTCAAGAAGTATTTACTGGGACGGAAATTTTTGATCAGAACTGATCACGCTGCTTTGAAATGGCTACTTCAGTTTAAGGATCCCGAAGGCCAAGTAGCCAGATGGTTGGAACAACTTCAGGAATTTGACTTTGAAATCGAACATCGCGGCGGAAGAATTCATGGCAACGCAGATGCATTATCGAGACGCCCATGCGTGGAAGATTGCAAGCATTGTGCCAAGAAGGAAACTGCTTTTCTTAAGGTGATAAGGACTGATACTGTTGACGAGGCATGGGGAGACGATGCGATGAAATTAGAACAGGAAAAAGATGCAGATATCAAACCAATACTGGAGTGGCTACGAAGTGGTAACAAGCCAAGTTGGAGTGACGTCGCCCAATATAGCGCGGTAACGAAAGGTTTATGGGCACAGTGGAAAAGCCTTACGCTGCATAACGGACTTCTGTGCAGGAAATGGGAATCAACAAACGGCAAGGACGAGCATTTGCAATTGGTGGTGCCTCGTTCAAAAATAAGGGATGTATTAAAAGCGTTCCATGATGGATCTTCTGGAGGACATTTGGGAATTAGGAGGACTTTGGTGAAGATCAAGGAGAGGTTTTATTGGTTGCATTGCAAATATGACGTCGAAGATTGGTGCCGGAAATGCACTAGTTGTGCAGCTGTCAAGGGTCCACAAACAAGAAGCAGAGGGGCGATGAAAATCTACAATGTTGGTATGCCTTGGGAGAGAATAGCCTTAGACATCGCTGGACCATTTCCAATCACTGATTCGGGCAATCGCTACGTTTTAGTGGTTATGGATTATTTTACAAAATGGCCGGAGGTCTTTGCCATACCGAATCAAGAGGCAGTAACTGTAGCCACGAAGTTGGTAAACGAGGTATTCACCCGGTTCGGAGTGCCCTTGGAGATGCACAGTGATCAAGGACGGAACTTTGAATCCCAAGTTTTCCAGGAAACTTGTAAACTTTTGGGAATCCATAAGACTCGAACGACCCCTTATCATCCACAGTCAGATGGAATGGTCGAACGCTTCAACCAAACATTGGAGCGACACTTAGCAAAGGTGGTTGACAGCCATCAGAGAGATTGGGACACTTACATACCTCTCTTCTTGCTTGCCTATCGGACTGCTGTACATGAAAGTACCGCAAAGACGCCTGCATTTGCAAATTTTGGAAGGGAATTGAGATTACCGGCAGATCTTGTATCGGGCTGTCCACCTGGTGACTCTCGCACCGAGTTTAGCGATTACATAAGCGAGTTAAGGGCAAAAATGTTGGACATTTATGAGCAGATCAGGGAGGCCGGTCTTCAAGCTAGTGATCGCGCAAAGACGCGCTATGATCGACGAGCCAATTCTGTTGGGTTTGAAGAGGGGTCATTGGTCTGGCTTCATAATCCAGTCAGAAGGAAGGGAAAATCTCCAAAGCTGCAACCGAGTTGGGAAGGTCCTTACGAGATAGTCACGAAGATCAATGACATTACTTACAGAATTCGGAAGTCTTCAAGGAGCCCTTTGAAAGTTGTCCATATAGACAGGTTGGCGAGGTATTACGGCAGCAACGATGCTCGGGACGAGCGAATCTAAGAGGGGGGCAGTGTGACAGAAAACTCTTTGACATCATGACGTCAATGGATGGTTGTCAAACGTTGCCTAGAGATTGTAAATTTCGTCGTGAATTGTCAACACGAGTTGGTGTAATCGGTAAGGCGTGTGGATTACACCACAGAGACCCCGAGTTCGAGTCCCGCCGTAAACATGAAGTTTTTTAGTTGATGGAAGTTTTGTCGAACTTTCTGGAATATTTGAGTGAAAGTAATGAAAAATTAAGGAGCGAGAAGGAGAATAAATAAAAATGAATAACGAAATTATTGGAAGGTTCTGGAGGCATGACGATCAAAAAAGAATAACGAAATTGAATGTTCTAGAACCTGACCGGGGGTATATAAGCGGAACTGCGGCTCACCGCTGGCAGTTGAGTTCTAAGTCCAAAGCGATTCGGAAGAAAAGGAAGAAGTGAAAAGAAGAAAAGTGAGTGAAATAGTGAAGTACAGTGAAATAGTGAAGTGCAGTCAGTTAAGTGAGTTAAGTCAGCGTGAACAGTGAACGGCAAAGTTGTGTCAGTCGGCCGGACTCTGCTGGAGAGGAACGCCGATAACTTATCCGTATCCGTGGACGCTGTCACTTAAGTGCAATAGAAAGTCTGAAAACCGGTATTAGTGTTTAATTTCATCCAATCCCGTAACCCAAGCCCGCATAGTTAGGAACGTGACGTCAGGCACGTAACAATATTATCACTAATATTGTTCATGTAATCTTTTCCAGCTTCTTGGTCACTTAATGTTGGTGGCTCGGTCCCTGGGCGCAGCGCGGGCTCCCTCCGGCTGGCGCCTCATCGTCAACAACGGCAGGGACGGGGCTCAGTCCGTCTACCACCTTCATCTACATGTCCTAGGGGGTCGCCAGATGGGATGGCCCCCAGGGTAAGCAGGTAGATAGGGAATCACCACCAGGTTAGGGACACAGGTGCCTAAGAAATACAGCGTTGTTTTTAGTATGTGTATCATTTATTCAAGGAAAATTGACCTTTGTGGCTCCATTAATAAATAATTTGTAAAAGAAAGAAAAATTAAGAATGTTTAATTAAAAACTTTTTTCTTCATATACTAAAAATAATGTTGTATTTTGTAGTCTGTAATAAATGGTATATGATTTTAATGTCTTTGAGTTAAAGTTGAAATTCCAATGCTAAAGCCTGTCTCGATATATTATTTTTCAACTAACGAACCTGGCACTTTTTCCATATATCCGTGTATTCGCAAACGAAAAATTACCTTATTCAATAAACATATAAAGTATATTTTAGTAATTTCTTTTTGTTGTAAGCAAAAAGTTTATTTACTATTTAATTTCTATGTCAAAGAGGGTTTTAGTTTTCAGCGCGACTAGATGGCGCTGCTTACGTATTAGGTGCACTGTAGCTTTTAAAGCCCTCTGCTGTGATTGGTCGGTTTGTCAGCCAATCACAGTTCTCATAATATGGCAGTAAACTAGAGTTGGACCTATGTAGACTAAGTCACACTTATTCTAGTGTTAGGTAGAGTTCTGCTGTTCTTATTCTAGATATTTATGAATGACGTGAAGATATTATTCAGTGCCTTATTTATCCAGACTGCGTAAACGTGAGTTCGATTCCCAAACAGCAATAATTCGCAATCTGGAAATTTGCCCAATACAAAGTCAAATGCTAAATATGTTATTTTCTGTTTGTCCCTAAAAGGTAATGACAGTTTTATATTTAAGCTGTTAACTGACATTTATATGATCGTACAACTTCGCAGTCCATAAACGTAATTATTGAATCATATTTTATAAGTGTAAGTAATGCTTACTGCCACCCATCCTCGTCCAACCCTCGTGGAGTTGCTTAACCTAAGATTGTCGCTAAATCGTGTCATAATGAAGCCATTGTTATTGTTATATGTTAGTGCAATATCACTTGCCAAATTAGTTTGTAAGTATTATAGTCTGCGCACACGACGCTACTAGATGGCGTTAATGTAAATTTATATCTATTCGGAAAATCTTGACTGATAAAAAAAATATTTTAATCTCAATGATTATAATGTGTATAAAATGAATTTTATATCAATTAATTGCTTGACACAATCATGTTTTGAATCAATCTCCCCGCTTTTGTTTGTTACATTTTCAACATAAAATTTTTGTTAATAAAGTTTAAAATGCATAAAAAGAAAGGGTAGCTTGATATGCTAGCTACAATATGCCATCGGTCGTGTGACGCAGTGCACAGTCTCAAAGAAGCGACGCCACAGTTTGATACCTTCTGCCTGAGCCGACAGGGGGCGGTACTGTGCTCACTAAATTAACGCGGTTTTGAGCTGGCAATACCAAAAAAGTCTTTTTCTTGTTAAAAATTTGTCCAAAGTTAGTATATTCTAGTAGTTTTACACAATTTGACTGAAATATTTAGTTTTTAAGTAGTATTTTCAATTCCGTCTACTTAGTACGTGTAGTTTTAGGTTTAAATTATTAGTTTCAATAAATTACAGCAGTTTTCCACAGTATCTATGTAAAAGCGGCAGCAATATCGCTCCCCTGTCATTTGGAAATTACGCTCAGATCAGTATTCGTATAAAATAGTATGAAAAAGTGATTCACATGCAATACTTTTCTTTCTTTAGTCACGTTGGTGCATGTGACAGCTGTCAAAATTGACATCTGCCGTTTCTGACAGCTGTCATTAGTGTCAATCATTGTAATGTGTAGTTTAATAGATTTTGATGAATTAGTAAGTGTTTGAATAAATACCTCATTAATAATAATTTAATGATCTGAGTAATTAACGAATCTCGATTGAGTTGTATCTTTTGTTAGATTGCATTGATTGAACATTTGGTTTTGTTTCTAGTCAGAACGGCGGGCTCCGACCGTCGCGTGTCTCAAACTGTGGTATTACGGGCGGGGACTGAACAATACCATTCTAGCTTTTGGAGGAATATTATTTTTAAAATTTATTTTGTTTGAAGTGAACATTTCTGCTATCCATATATGGCGCGAATAAGATCTTTTCAATTGGATTTTTTTAAACTTAAATTGACCTTATTCTACAATGGCGTCGATTCAAGCAATTATAGACAGTATGCCTGCACATTTAATAGCTAGAATGGTGTGAGATGTCCTCGCCAGTCGACGTAGTCAGTCGCTCGGTACATATCTTAGATTTAGTTGTTTTATTTTGTTTCAATTTTTACTTTTATTCTATTGACTCCCCCGACTTCGTTCTTTTCTCTCCCTGTCGCACTTTAACTTTTATGTGTGCTAGACAGAGATGGCAATATTATTGAACTTGAAATTCTGTTTACTATGTTGTGACGTCACTTTCTAGTTCAGTTTGAGTACAAAACGTTAGTGTAAGTAGGTATCGTTTGTAAGTCCTGTGTCATAGTGAACACCAAATATTGTAATGTAAGCGGAGTAGCGTCACTACATATGTCTAAGTCCAATCAATGCTCTTAAAACTCGTCATATTTTAAGGACATGAAGTTTAATATCTATGCAGACATACATTTAGCGTGGGAGAGCCATGCTTCGGCACGAATGGGCCGCGGTCAACCAGAGTGATACCACGGCCTCACAGAAAACCGGCGTGAAACAACTAGCGTTGTGTTTCGCCGTGTGAGTGTGGTTACCGGAGGCCCAATTCTTCCCCGCCCCCAATCCTTAAATCTCCAATTTGCTAGTCCCCAAAGAGTCGCCAACGCACTCATAACTCTGTTGCGAGTGTCCATGGCCGGCGTTGATTGCTTACCATCAGGTAATCTGTCTGCAGCAGTTACGAGGCCGATTCCGACCTTTTGGGGATTAGGCATTTGGAGATTTAGGGATTGGGGAGAACAGTTATTAATTTTCATGTTCTATCAAGATTGATTCTTATAAAAATATAATCTTATATCGTCGGGGGTATTAATGTATTTCTTTATTATTTCGTTGTATGTTGGTTGTGGGTGCGCGCGGCGTCGGTTCCGCCATTTTGTTTTACAAAAAGCGCGCGAACACTCGCCGCTCGCTCAATTCTGTTTAGAATTTAACTTTATGTTTAAATTCTTTAACCAAAGTTTATTAAATGATTTTATGATTATTTCGTGTGTTTTATTTACTTTTATAGGAAGGGTTTTTTTTCCAGATTAGGATATTTCACCTGTTCATGGCGTATTTACTGCATGGTAAGTGCACTGTTCAATGTGTTCCTCGTTCGATTCCGGTACGAAACATTTTTTTGTATGATCCACAAATTATGCTAGTTTCTCTAATGCGGTTCGGTTTCACTCGCTGCTTGGCTCCTACGAAACGGAGCGTTTGATGTTTTATAGCCTTTCTCGATAAATAATTATTCTATTCGAACCAGTACTTCTAGAGATTAGCGCGTTCAAACAAACTCTTCAGATTTATAATATTTTTCACTAGCTTATGCCCGCGACTTTGTTCGCGTGGAATAGTGACTTTCTGCAGATTTTTGGTTTAAAAATTGTCCTATGTCCTTTCTCGAGTTCCAAACTATGTCGGTTCACACATTGTATAGGTTCAGTGGAAGAAAAGACAGACAGAGTTACTTTCACATTTATAATATCAGTTTGGATTTGTAAACGCATCCACGATGCAGGAGAATTTTCTAGTGTGGGGCAAAGATTTGTTTTAAATTTAATGACACTTATTTACCCCATCAAACACATAACACCTAGTCCAAACCTTGTATATAAGTACACAAAGAAAATGAAACGCAACATTAATGAAAATTCAATTTATTGAAACTTTGAAACTGAATAAAATGTTTAGTAACATAGACACGAAGTGGGGGCGCATCCGCAAGCGGGGGCGGCGTACATGGGGGGAGGGGGGAGCGCCGCGTAAGTTATGGCGGGGGGAGCGCAAGGGGCGGGGGCGGGGAGAGCGTACGCGATGGGAGCTGGAGGAGCTGGGAGGGCCAGAGGAGCAGCAGCGTAACCGCAACCTGGAGGCAACGCAGCTTCCAACAAAGGTCCAGCAGCCGATAGCACGGAGGTCAGCACTGTAGGTAAGGCCGCATCAAGAAGAGGAGGAAGAGACGCTGAGATAGATGCTGAGATAGTGTTAGCCAGAGCCGGGGCCAGGGTAGGCAGGGCGGGAGCCAGGGCAGCTAGGATTGGAGGCACTGCGCACGGGTTGGCGGGGGCCACAGCAGGGGCTGGCAGCACCAGGGGAGCGGGGGGCGCGGCCGCAGCGCATGGGTAGGCGTACTGAGAGTACGCGACCTGGAATATAAATATCAACATTTAGTGGGAATACTTCAACAACTTTTTTTGTCGGGTAAACCATCAAATGTCTTCTCCCGCCCAGGGTAAGGCGAGAGGGAGTGTCAGACTCTTACTGACTAAAAACCCCCTGTTCCTTCTCCTGCTCTAGGCCGAGGTTGCGGTGCCTCATTGCGCTTACCCCGCAACCCCGGCTGAACATCAGCCCTAGGACCCTGTCTGTAATGGTCTATTGGCTCTTTGAGGCGCGCGCGAAACGCTACGCGCCGTATGCTCGGGTCTGGTTCTGGTCGGGCTGTCCTTACTCGCCGTTCACAGACCCGTGCTTACGGTGGCCGGAGATCATCTATCGAATACTTCAACACCTGGGTACTTATGTCTTTCCGTCCTTAATTTTTGATGTCATCGTCTTTAGCAGCCATTGACCGTCTACTGCTGGGACAGTCCCTCCTCTATATAATGCTATAATTCCCAGATTAACCCATTCACTGCCAATGCGGTTAATGTTGACCGACCAATTTGCCTTCAACAGCTTTTATCGACAGTCAAAAACTAAAACCGGTCTGCTGTTTATCAAAGAACGCGGGAATCTGGTCTCTATTGTTCATAAGTTGTATTTTACCTTCGTTGAATCTTAAGAATCCACGAGAAGAACGCAGATGGCAACAAATACCCACATACTATACTATCAAAAGACTTTATGGAAAATAACGACTTAGGTATTCACGTAAAGACTGAGAAAAGCTCTACTAGTTTCAATTCATGAATAAGAGTCCCGTTGTGACTTGAAACCAGTCGACGTTTTCTCAGTTAATTCACGTTATTTTCAAA